AAGGTGAGGTGGGGATGGAGACAGAGACGGGGACAGGGATGGGGGCTGGGGATGGGGGCTCCACTGGCTCTGGGGAACTGCTCCGTGGGCTCCACCAGGTCCAAGGAACTGCTCTGCTCCCCCGCATCGCCTTGGGGAGTGAGGAGGCACATGGCATCAGGGCTGGAGAGTGGAGCAGTTCCCTGGAGCTGGCAGAGCCCTCGGAACAATTCCCCAGAGCTGGCAGAGTCTTACATGGGGCAGGCAGCGGCTCCTCCCCAGGGTGAGGCAAGGCAGGGCTGGGGGCTGGCGTGGGCTTTGCCGGTTCTGTGGAACTGCTCCACTCCCCAGCCTTGATGCCATGTACCTCCTCGCTCCCTGAGGTGATGTGAGGGTGTGGAGCCCCAGCCCTGCTTTGCCTCACCTCGGGGAGGAGCTGCTGCCTGCCCCGCATGAGGCTCTGCTGGCGCCAGGGAACTACTCCACTCCCCAGCCCTGATGCCATGTGCCTCCTCGCTCCCTGAGGCGATGCAGGGGAGCAGAGCAGTTGCCTGGAGTTAGTCCCAAGTCAGTCCACACACACAGTGTTACTGCCCAGTAAGGTATCTACATGTGCGTTACTGCATAGTAACTAATTGGGTCTAAATTTGATACCTGCATGATGCAGGTATCAAATTTATGCTCAAGTCGGTGCAAGCTGCCATATTTACTGCACAGGATGGGCATGCACATGTAGATGTGCACCTATACTGCGCTGTAATTTCGGTTACTGGTCAGTTAATGTGCACGTGTAGACGTGCCCACTGGGGCAGTTCTCAAGAGATGATTTCAGTTAGCTTCATAGCATCCGCACACAACTGGAGCAATGTATCTGGCCTGGGATGATCACTGTTAGTTTTCAATATACCTGAAAGTGTAGGGAGTGGCTGTTTAAAAATGTGTCAAGTCATATGTTGAGTTCTACAAGCTCTCTACAGTTTACACATCTATCCATGTTACACTTCTATCCATGTTAGAATCCATGTTACTGAAGCCTATCTATCCCTTGCAGTGTCTAAGAACTGATCTACATGAGAAAGGTATTGTAGAATAAGCTGCAGTGGGATTTAAAAGCATACTAGCTGCTTTATACTATCTGTCCACGTGGACTTCCTTGGCACATGCTAAATGCAAGGTAACGTGTTCCACTTGCAGAATGGAGGAAACCACCTCACACAAGTTCCCCTGCTTGGTACATATACTTACAACTCAGAATATGATGGGTCTGAAGGTTAAAAAGAAATCAGCTACATCCTGTAACATGGATGACTGTAACAAGCATTGTTTAGCTAATGACAATGCCATGTCTCTGGACCATTCATATGAATAAACTTTTTATATACAAATAATTTAACTTTACAATGAATAATGCACAGAAATGGGCACATATACCAAATTTATTTATTGTGGAGATATGTTCTGGTAATATGAAATTAAATAGAAAGTAATTTATGCAGTAATATTGTAATTTGAATTTGTATCATCAAGATTTATTTTATATTAGCATTTCTTCTAGAGTTACTTTATTATCTTCAATATTTACAGTTAATTCTTTAATTTTTGCTTTCATTTCTTAATGTATGCTTCAGTGATTCTGAATCAACTTAGGTTTAGCACTACAGTGCCATCATTTATTATTTAAATAGCATGAGAAAAATATTTTTTTCAACATAATAACAATAACATATCATTGTGTACACAGAATGTATATTTCTCCATTTTATATTTATTATTACATGTTTCTAAATAATCTCAAGAATGACACTATATAGCACTTATCCAAAGCTCATTTAAGCCAATGGAAAAACTCCCATCTTTCCATAGACTTTCAGTAACCTTAGGCTGGGCCTTATTACACAGTCGTTTTTACTCACTAGAAGAGAATAAGAACAGCAGTAAGGACTAGGGCTGTGGAAAACACCATTTTGTTTCGACATCTGTTTCACTGCTTTGAAGGGACAGTGTTTTGTTTCATCACTTCATTTTATCTCAAAGCACTGTCCCATTTCATCGAAGCTTTCGCTGCTTCAACTCATTTTGACATTTTGCTATAATGGGGAATCATGAAAATGCCTAAAATGTTGTCATATCTTGTCTCATTTGGATGTAAATTGCAGGGATGGTAGCCCTTTCTGAGGGCATGAAACCTGCTGTTTCTTGGAGAAACTGGCCAATTGTCGCCTTGGGTCCTCCACAATCTGGAAAATTGGCTCCGGGGTCGGACCCAGAGGGTAGTAATTGATGGAAGTCACTCATCGTGGTGTCCTGTGACCAGTGGGGTCCCCCAAGGCTCTGTCCTTGGACCCATACTGTTCAACATCTTCATTAATTATGTGGACACTGGAGTCAGAAGCGGACTGGCCAAGTTCGCCGATGACACCAAACTTTGGGGCAAAGCATCCACACCAGAAGACAGGCAGGTGATCCAGGCTGACCTGGACAGGCTCAGCAAGTGGGCGGACGAGAATCTGATGGTGTTCAACGCCGATAAATGCAAGGTTCTCCACCTTGGGAAAAAAAACCCGCAGCATCCTTATAAGCTCGGCAGTGCTACGTTGGCTAGCACTATGGAAGAAAGAGACTTGGGGGTCATCATTGACCACAAGATGAACATGAGCCTGCAATGCGATGCGGCGGCTAGTAAAGCGACCAAAACGCTGGCTTGCATCCATAAATGCTTCTCAAGCAAATCCCGGGACGTCATTCTCCCCCTGTACTCGGCCTTAGTGAGGCCGCAGCTGGAGTACTGTGTCCAGTTTTGGGCTCCACAATTCAAAAAGGATGTGGAGAAGCTTGAGAGAGTCCAGAGAAGAGCCACGCGCATGATCAGAGGTCAGGGAAGCAGACCCTACGATGACAGGCTGAGAGCCCTGGGACTCTTTAGCCTGTGCCAAACCTGCTTAGGTACCTATTTGCATCTTTAGTTGCAGAAATTCTTCTAAGGAAGAATTTCTTTACTGTCCTAGCCCCCAAGGTCTGGAACAGCCTGCCACCGGAGGTGGTTCAAGCGCCTACATTGAACACCTTCAAGAGCAAACTGGATGCTTATCTTGCTGGGATCCTATGACCCCAGCTGACTTCCTGCCCTTTGGGCAGGGGGCTCGATGATCTTCCGAGGTCCCTTCCAGCCCTAATGTCTATGAAATCTATGAAAGTTTCAAGGAGAACGGTGAAGAGGTTTCTCAGAAACTGCACCTCAAAGTCTTGAAAGCAAAACTTGCCATCAGCAGCAGCCTCCTGTCACCCTGGGCAGATCCAGGGGATCACCCCCGCAGGAGGGCTGCGGAGCTGTGCCAGACTCCTCCCATGGGTGCAGGCCCTCAGATCTGCACTGGATAACAGGAGGCTGCTGCCTGGGACTGGCGTTGGGTGCAGCCTGCACCCAGCATAGGAGAAGACAGATCGTGCCAGTGGCCCCAAGTAGCAGTGGTAACCTGTCATCCGAGCTCAGGTCCGGGGGCCTGCATCCCCGGGAGGAGTCCAGCATAGCCCCACAGCACTCCTGGGGGTGCGAGCCCCTGGACAGGAGGCTGCTCACAACCCCATGGAACTCAGCCCAGTGGCAGGAGGTGGAGCACAGCACCGGCTCTGCCCACCTCCTGCCACCGAGCTGAGCTCCATGGGGCTGGTGGAGCTGATCGGAGCGCAGCCCGGCAGCAGAAGATGGGGAGACCCAGGGCTGCGCTTCCTGCCAGGCTGAGCTCCATGGGGCTGTGAGCCGCTCAGAGCACAGCCCTAGCTCTTCCTTGCCTCCCACTACCGGCCTGCTTTGAAACTCAAAATGTTTCAAAACTTTGAAAACTTTTTGAGTGCCCTCATTTTGTTTCAAAGCTCTTTTGATGCTTTTTGTTTCATTTCGATTTTGCTGTTTCAAGCTCGAAGCGCATTGAAACAAATTCAAAACAAAACACTTGGCAGAATTTCACACAGCCCTAGTAAGGACACTGCAAATAGTGCCAAGTGACAGTCTTTTCAGGACATGCTGATGAGCTATAAAACAGTCATGTTTTTCTTGTACAATCTCACCAATCCTCATTTCCCAAATAGACTCACCTGTTTCTCTATTGCACCAAAATCAAGACGTTAAGCATATTTTTTTAAAGTTTTAAGGAATTTTAAGTGGCAATAATATTCATATTCCAAACTCAAACTTTTGCTTTTCTGGTACACCTAGAGATATTGTTCACCATTTATTTCAATATATAAATGCCTCATTCTCTTTTAGATTTCTTTATTTTTCTTTATCTCTTCCATTCCTTGGAGTCTCAAAACAGCAGAGACTTCCTATGCTTGAAGACTGGTGATTGTGCCCAAAAGCTTGCAAAGAACTTTTTTCCAACTACTCAGTTGGTCTAATAAAATATATCACATCTACCCAAAGAAACTTGCCTGCCTATGTGTTCCTGACCCTTTCCCTTTTCCTTTTTTTTTATTTTGTGCTATATTTTCTTCTTCCATTCCTTATACTTGGGGGGGTAATAAGGGCTTTGGAAAAAATGAAGCATTAGTTCTGTCTTTTCTATCCCCAGTCATCCAACAGGCTGGTCAATACAACTCTGTTAGTACATCAGCTGGCATATCTACTTGTAGTACATGGAGAACCCATGAGTTAGGCTATGATTTCTGAGTCACAGTCTGCTTTGAGGCTGGGTCAGTACAGCAATATACAGGGCTCATGGAAAATGCACAATTTGAACCCAAGGGAAAATACTGTATGAGGCAAATGAGGGTATCAGTATGTGACCACTTTTAAGCTAAATTGAAAATGTAATTCTTCCCTAATGTTTTTAACCCCTTGGTCAGCCAAAGAATGCTATAACTGAGTGTTTCATGTTTCCAATTCAGTAACTCATTTTTCTTTTTCTTTCTACATTGTTGAATGGTTTTCCTATTCCATCCTGCATATAATATGGGGGACTTTGTTCACAACTGACCATGATGTCTTGCAATTCCTCATCCCTCGTGAATATACATATGAACAGTACACGGTGAGAAACATGAAGACCCTATTCTTGCAGTAAACCAGGATACATACAATTTTGAAGGCCAGAAATCTGCAAGTACTCCTAAACCGACCAGAAAAACAAAAGATAAAGCAACTGAAAAGGCAGAAAAAGAAAAGTCTAGCAAAGATAAAACAGCACCTACTTCTCGACCTGAATCTCAGGTAACACTAAATTCCTGAAGTCTTATCACTAATGCTAACAAAAACATATTTTAGTGCCATGTTACTGTATAAACCTCATTGATGCTACCGCCCATTTACAATCAAAAGTGGCATCAGACTCTGTACAATCAAAATGAACAAGGATCCAAGTCATTAAAATAGAGCCAAGGGCAAAGGCAAAGATCAACCATTTTTAGTACCCAGTCCTTATTAAAAGGTCTAATTGGCCTCTGTAGATTGCAGACACACTAACATGGAACAAATAGGAAACCAGTATTAATTCATCCTCTAATAGGCCTAGCATTTCTCCTGGGAAAAAGCCTTTTTTCCTGGCGTTCTACAGACATACATACCCATTATCCTGCTTGATGTACCTGTGAAATATGTGGGATGAAATGTACTGTCACCTTTTCCCAGGGCATGATATATGTCTATAAAGTTTTTGTGACTCATTTCAGGAAGACGTTCAAGCTGTATGCTGTCCCTTGCCACCTACTGGCAGAGGAGCAGCAGTGCATCCTGGAAGGGCTACATGTGTAAATAGCTGTGCCACTCCTGTTTCAACACAGGTCAAAATCCAGGACAATCAGATCCATCTCAAACCATTTGTCTATATACTCTTAGAGGTTGATTACTCTTTTTCAAGAGAATCCACAGGAAATGGCTAAAGGTCTCCATGGCTAGGGACAGACTTTCAAAAAGCCAGAGCCTGAATTAATTAAATATTTGCAGGTTAGTGTAACCTGCATAGATTAAACCAATTTTCAAGTGAATAGACATTCACTTTTGACTCAGGAAATGCAAGCACATGCCTGCAGTGGCTCAGACTAGAAACCGGGGGGTGCTGGAGCATGCCCTCAGCTGCAGGGAAACTATGCTGGGGGTGGGAGGGAGGCATGGCCAGCCCCAGCAATAGACTTAAGTGAACTGGCCAGGGAGAGAGTTTAGTTCCCCCCTCCCTGTCCCACCAACATGGACTGGAGCCGGGGTCTGCCTGGTGCTCCCACCTTGCTTCTGCAGCAGCAGGGGTGGGTGCATGTTCAGATACTGGCTGGAATGGCCCCCTGAGGCAAAGGGGGCAGGGAGGGAGTTTATTCCCTGCTCCACCCCTTCTGCCCCTGAGGGACCGCAGCCAGGGTCTGCTAGCCCTGACTGTGCCTTTGCTGATTGGTACCTACATGGGGTGAGCGGCGGAATAAGCCTCTCCCTGCCCCCTTTGCCAGACTCCAGAGGGAGGGGGGGAATAAACCCCTTCTCTGCCCCCTTTGCCTAAGGGGGCCATGCTGACCAGACTCTGGCCATGCCCCTGCCCCTGGCCCTGCTGCTGGAGTGACAAGGGGGAGTAACCCTGAAAGGGCAGCAGCCCCAGTCATGGTATCCCAGGAGCACAGGCCTCTTCCTGGCAAGGGTACTGCACTGCAGGCAGGAGCAGGTCAGGCAGAGCTGCTGCAGACAGCATAGGGCAAGTGGCAGCAGTGCACTGTGTGGTAGGGGCTATGGCCATCCCTCCAAGCCTACGTGCTGCCACTCACCCTGCTCAGTCTGCAGCAGCTCTGCCCACTCCACTCCCACCCACAGTGCAGCCCTTCTCGCCGGGAAGAGGCTTGCGACCCTGGGACACCATGACCTGGGGATACTGCTAGGGTCGTTCCCCACTAGCCACTCCAGCAGTAGGGGCGGAGGCACAGCCAGATGTCATCCTGGCATTGCTCCATTAAGGTGAAAGGTACAGGGAGTTAAATCTTCCCTCTCTCCCCTCTCCCCACCCCAGGGATCACAGCCAGGGTTTGCCTGGCTGTGGGTGAGTGGCAAAGGTGGTGGCCAGGACTGGCATACCCCAGCTGTGGTCCCCAGGGGGAGAGGGGACAAAGGGAGGAATCAACCCCCTCCCTTCCTGGCTACGGGTGAGTGGCACAGGCAGTGACTGAGGCTGGCAAACCCAGTCCCCAGGGCGAGAGGGGATAGAGGGAGGAATTAACCCGCTCCCTGCACCCTTTTCCTTAATGGGGTCATGCCAGGATGGTATCTGGCCATGCCCCAGGTGGCAGTGGGGTGGGTGGGGGGGAGCCAAAGATGCAGCATGGTCCCATATATCAAGAGTGGGGTGCTACCCCTACGGCTTCGCTGCCGCTGTACCAGTATGGCCAGGGCGGGCACCCCTGATGGTGACAGCAACAGCAGCAAGGAAGTTGCAGGGATGGCGCCTGGTATACTATGCTGCGCCCCCACCACCAGGTAGGAGAACAGTGAACAGGGCACACCAAACTCAGTGCCAGTGGCTGCAAGTAACAGGGCTCAGGTCTGAAGGGGTGAGCCTGTGCCGTGTGCACCACTGTGGGGGCCAGGGCTAGGTAGAAGGGGCTACCAGGCAGGAGCTGCTTTCCCAGCTGCATGCTCAGCTGGCTCTGCCCTGGGCTAGCTCCATGTGGGTGGGACAAAGGGGAGGAGGGAATTAAACCCCACTCCATTCCCATTTGCTGGAGTTGGCTGGTGATGCCCCCCTGTCTCCTCCCTGCAGCGGCTTTGGGCAAGGGGGTGGGAAATGCCTGACAGGGGCTGCTATATCCTGGCCAGGCGGACACTGGCTGGGGTCCCGAGGAGAGAGAAGAATAAACTACCCCTCCCCTCTTCACCTCAGGGGGCCATGGCAGGCCAGCTTCTGGCCATGCCCATACCACTGCTTGGGTTAGAGAGCAGAGGGGCATGGCCAGCCCTATTCTCTGGAGCAGAGAGCACAGCCCAGCCCAGGGCTGCAGAGCATGCTGGGATGCTAGAGGACTCTGATTTAACTTAAACCAGGAAGGGGTCTGGGACAAAAAATGCATAAACTGGTTTGACCCAAATAAGTTAAGTCCGATACTACATGCAACCAGGTTTATCTTAAACTAGTTTCGGCTATTTCGAAACTTATGTTCTGTTACAAGTTTAAACCAGTTTCTGATCACTTAAATTGGTTTATATGTAACTTCTGTCCCTAGCCCATGGGGCTTTTTATGCATAAACATCTCTCCAATTGTATGGTAGGTTTTACCAAACAGTCAGTGAGACCTGCACATAAACCCATAGATATATCCATGGCTTCCTCCCAGTTCAAATCCCTGCTAATATGGCTTTCCGGCATCGTACCCTGAGCTGTGGTGAGTACAGCGTCAATTAAACTCTTCTGGCAGAGATTCTGCATGTGCAAGTCATGGCTATGGAAATGTAATATAATCTCAGGCAAAGTTACAGTTCTACCCTGGACCATGCTGAGCTTGGGAAAGGAAGAATGCCCAGGTTAGTCTATCCTTGTCTCTGTCTGGATCCGGGAGAGCCTCAGAGGGTCCTTTGCAGGATCCAGACAGAAAGATAATATACTGCTGTGAATGCAGCGGAGTCTATTCCAAGAGTACTACACATGGACCAAAGTGGCGTGATTTGGTCTGTAGTCAGAAAATGTATGCTATCCATTTCCAAAGTGATTGCCTACTTTATCTCACTGTTATGATAAGTCTGAGCAAGACCAATTTATGTTTAAAATGTGCTTCTAATGGATTAAGAAAACTTTTTGTACTAATTTAATTCAAGCCATCTGCTTTGCAACTGCTGCCTGCTAATTGTGAAAATATCTGTGCACATCAGGCTGGCACTTCCAGCCCTTAGCATAAGAGGCTTCTTCTGCCAATTGCTGTTTACGTGTAAAGCATATCAAAGTAAAGCTGAACTCTGGGGTGCATGAAAAATAAACAAAGACCAAAAAATGAGTTTTAAAAAAAGATAATGCATTTAGACTATTTGATTGGTTTCTTTTATTCCATTCCACCTTTAGCAAGCTGATCCAAACAAACCTTACTGGATCTTACGTTTAGTGAGTGAGCAGGGTGAGACTGAAACACTAGAAGTGAAGAAAGATACTGAAAGAGCAGATGAAATCAAAGCCATGAAACAAGCATGGGAGTCTGCAGAACCAGGCAGAGCTGTCAAGGTACTTGGAGTTTATCCTGTTACAGTTACATCATTAAAAAAATTCCAGTGGCTGGTGTCATGGCAAGGCAATGCCATAGAGAAGATATAACTTGATGCCTACATATTGGCTAAATACAAATTTATGTACTGATGGGTACTCGGGGACTTTCACTTGTGGTGTGAGGAGTGAGGAGGGGGCGAGAAACTGTAAAGGGATGCTTCCTGTCAATTACTTTAGCCTGGAATCAGGTCTACACGTGCAGACCCTTGTAACCATGAAGACCCGGTTGCAGGAATATACCCCCCTTTCATAAAGTTACTCAGGTAAAGTCTGGAAAGACCAGCGGGTTATTTAAAATTATCTCATTATTATTACTTTAATTATTTTGCTAAATCTAAAAATATATATAATTTTAGAGATTTTTTTTTACTTTTGCCCCAAAGTAAAGCAGACTAATAAGACCACTAGATCAAATTTCCATTCAAGTCATTGTTACCTATTATTGAGTGGCATTTCTAGTCCTGCTATTTCTTAAAGTCAATGAAAAGTTGTTTATATTGTTTAAGTGTTGGCAGTTCAGAGGTTCAGGAAAACCAAGGAAACTTCTTATGCTATAATAGCTGGCAAGTGCTAGGCTGATGTAGACAGGTATCTTTACAACTACTTGCTAGAAGAGTGGATCTCTATGGCAGAAGAAAGATCAGACAGAGAGGAAAGGTTTAGAACCCAGGAAGGGTATGGAGAGGAAATAAACTGCTGAGGTTAGGCCAAGGGAAAGGGGTAAGGGCTGAAGAGAAGAGACCCAAGGAGGTGAAGAGGAATGGACACCCCCATTCTGGTAAAGAGTCCTGCTTATGCAGAACTGACAGTCTCCAAGAGGTAAATGGTAATCCCCACCACCACCCTATCCCACCCTGGGTTATTCCAAGAGAGAGTTGGAATGGGGAAAGCGAAGTCACAGTGGATGGGCTGTGAGCCGGATGGAGCAGGAGATACCTAAAGTATAATTGATTAAGTGATGAGAATCAAGGGGTTTTAGCATAAGGAAAAAGGAGCTAAAAACAGTTGGATTATATTCTGGAAGGAATGTGACCATATATATAGTCTAACCAGAAAATGAGTCATGAGAAGTAGACCACTGTGGTTCCATCAGCAAGAACATCCAAGGAGAAGACCCTGCAGATCCAGTGATGAGGAGTCATGCCAGCCAATGAGTGGCATTTTGACAAGCTCCTAGTACAACCATAATTGCTTAACTGAAGGGGGAAATATATTTATGTTGAAATACCTAATGTTTTGTCACAGCTGCCTTATGTCAGTTTAAGCAATGATCCAACTTGCATTATCTTGTGATACAAAAGGCAGCAGGGCATTCTGTAAAAGGCTGCTTGTTTCTGCAAACTTACTGAAGGTGACCCAGGATCAGATCTGTGTAAAAATCACAATGTTTTGTTTCCTGCCTCAGGCAGAGTTATAAACTACGGGATATTGATAAGTTGTTTACTGAGGAAACAGATGGCATCAGTATCTCTGTGTGGCATGTCCTGTATATATCTGTAATGCAGTGAGTATAATGATAAGGAATTGCCCACTTGAGGTTCAAAGCATCATTAAGATGAACATGAGCCGCCAATGCCAGACCACAGCCAGCAAGGCCAGCCATACCTTGCCATGCACCCAAAGGCGCATCTCAAG